CATATTCTCCGCGGGAACGGATACGTGTCTTGTGCGGCCTCCCTGGTGATCGCCTTGTACGCGGCGAAAGCAAATTCAGTCCTGAAAAGTCATCACCAATGGCAACGGATAGGGTCGGTGCTGTTACCGGGTAGATGCTGCACTCGTACACCTTTCTTCAGAAGGTGGTGCTGTACTATGAAGCCACCAAAGTGCCAACCCTGGTACCCGTACGGATGGCGGCAACGACAGCGTGTGGGCAAGGGATGCGTAGCATTTGGAACTCGTTGCAGCTGCAGCACTTTGTTTGGAGATTGACCAGGAATGGGACGCCTTCCTTGTTCCTCACCTCATACTCATCTCCATTAATTCTACGGAATGAAAATCCTGTAGACATTTCGAAGTTGGTCGAAAGGATCTCCTCCACCTTTGGTGTTAGTGTGGTACCACAGTCGTTAGCAGCTAACCTTGACCTTGTAAACCACCCCATCAGGGTAGCTCGGATGCAACCACCAGAGGGATGATGGGGTAATCACGGGCACTTGCCAGGACATTGTTTAAAGATTCAGCTACATTGCTGGTCATGAGGTTGTAACGAACACCTGGAAAATGGGATCTCGCCCAGTACTCAAACCCGATTGAAGTCAGGTAACTTGCACATCCCTCGTCCATGGATCGAATCTCATTAAAATACTCATAAAATTCAGAAGGAACGAAAGCCCTTGCTGCCTTCGAGACCATGTAGCTTAGCTGCCATTTTTTGAAAATGCACTGCACATTGCGCTGGAGATGTACCACGCAGACACAGTGGAAAGACTTTGGGTAAACCTACAGTGTAAAAGATTAAGCTTAGTTAACACCCGACGTAGTTCGCTAACAAACATATTAGCGCTGTAACACATGTATGATGGACGGTAACATAATATATAGAGAACTAACATATCTATTTGAGGAGTAATAAAAACATTGTATAAGCAATGCATTTACCTTACGCAATGCTGCTTAAATGGAGTTATGTCTATCAGATATGAAAATTAGATCATCATTGTCAGGGATCACCTCCACCAGCTTCTGAAAAAACCAAATCCAGGCCTTATCGTTCTCTCCGTCAACAATTCCAAACCCCATTGGGTACAGCTGGTGGTTGCCATCTTGACAACTAGCCGTAAGTAAACAACCCCCATACTTACCCTTCAGATGAGCCCCATCTACAACTACAACCTTGTGCATGTATGGAAACCCGTTTAGACTTGCTCCAAGAGCGAAGAAGAGAAATTTAAATCGTTGACCAAAGCCAACTTCGTTTTCTGTTTCCAAAGACACAAGACTTCCAGGATTTGAGATCACCATAGCTGAAGGAAATTGGGAAGTTCTCTGTAAGACGTACCAGCAGCACCCAAACTACCTTTCCTTGCTATCTCTCTAGATCTCCATGCCTTCCAGTAAGAAATTGGGAGGTCGTGTTCATCTTGCATCATATCTCGCAATTCATTAGGCCGTGTTCCAACCAAACCTCCAGCATATATGCTCCTCAAGTTATCCCCAATGACTGCTGTTGTGGCTTGCCTATGGTATTGGCCACGCTCGTCCACTGTGCAGCTATGTGTCAGGGAAGCCTTCCTCATCTGGAACCATTCGATGCCCTGCATCTTCACGGCATAAACATGTCATGGACAGTTTTGTCCTACACACTCTAACACCATAAGATTCGGTGTTGATCGTCGGTGGTGATAATGAAACTTATTAGCAATCGCGTAGAATGACATGTGTAGCTTGAAAGCATTTTGGTTTTCGAACACCATTCCCAAGTACAGAAGATCTGGTTTGTTGACACCATCACCTAAGAGAAAACGATAATTTAAAAAGTAGCAATTTAACATTAATGTTAAACCGTATGTATGAAGTTGTTTATACAACTGCTACTCACATATGTAGCCTCCATCGTGGTCAGAAAGGTCATCGTCTGAAACAAGAACCGGTTTATTCGGCACGCCGCTACCCTCACCGATGCAAGCGATAGTCAACCCAAGAAATGGACTACCGGCAGCTTCTGTTGGCATTTTAGCTTTGCCCTTGTCAGCAGTTGTAGGGAAGTTACTCAGGGCACCACTTGTTGAGCCTGATGACAGCGGCGACCTTCCATTCCCTGTAACCACAAAGTTAGCCGTTACGTCACGATGTACCAAATTCAACGATAAAATTAGCTGCAATGTTCAAAGTTATATAATTTGTTTTAGTATCAAAGTTATCTGGTACCTCCACCCGAGGTTGTCCTTAGGGAGAGGTTGGCTACTGCGCGAGTCACATGCGATGGGGGCTGAACTGGGTTTGGGTGACCATGTGAGAGACACTCCTCATGTTGCATCTGGTCGAACTCTTCAGTCGAGGACTTGGAGGAGCTGTCTTTGTTGTTGATGGGTTGTTGATTTGCAGACTCCCGGTGGGTGTAGGCATTATGGAACTCCATGATGAGACGCGCCTCTTCCTCAGTAAAGATCTTATGGAATACACTTTCAGCAATCTGCACTGTTGGTCCCTCCAAGAGGCCTTCCCAAAAATTGTGAACATCGTCAAGTCCACCAAATGTTTTATCATCATTCATTGCAAGCTCAACGGTATTAATTAAATTATCGCTGTAACCAAAAGGGTTACCCGATATTGCCAGTGTTGGACGTTCAAATGCAAGAGGTGGACCGGTAACGTCACCAGTAGGGCGCCGGTCAGCACGGTAGCGCTCCACATTTTCTGCTCCCACGGTCACACAAATGGTCAGTATCTCCACCTCCACTCGCAAAGCCATGAAGAGATGGACATCGCCATTGTTGATGATGTCGAAAGGAGGAGTCTTGCGACCTGGAGCTACACAGATGCTTGGAGGGGGCTGGTAGGCAATGGCCATCATGTCGTGTGGACCGAGGCTGTAACAGGCTCTCATCATCCCGTCGAGTGACTCGAAGGTTTCTCGTTCGGAAATCAGGAGTCCGTACCCTCTTCTGGTTGTCTCCACCTCAAAATCCCAGTCACCATCTGCAGATTTGTTCAACACGCCTCTTACATACTTCACCATTAAACCCATTTGTCCCTGAAATATAATAATAGTAAACGGTCATTAATAAACTCGAATCACAGAAGACAATCTCGTCATAAATGTTCTTCACATGCATTAATAAATGTATGAGGTATGTCTGCATTTAAGTCTCTATTTGAAGTAAAGAAAGTTGGAATAAATGTACCTTGTTTTTTTTCACACAAACTGAACTTGCTGCTTTTGTTAGATCGCACCAACAACTTTCTTTTTTTTTCTATGTTTGCAGGTCTAACAATGGCGTTTTCTCCAGCTCGACTGCTAATAGCTTATATAGCGATGCAAACTCAGTGATAATCTATACATACAAGAATACAGAGATATGGCACGGAGGTCAATGTAATCTATCTCATATCTTTGCATTAAATGCTCTCTTCAGGCGGGAAAGAACGAGTGGTTCTCATTGGTCCGCGTCGCAACTTCAGAGATATTTTCTCTGCACCTGGGCAGCTAAACCTGCCTACAAGCATCATTACGCCCCTATTACACTTTCTTTTAAATTTAAACTTTTTCACGTAATATGAATTTCAGAGTGTTGGAGGTAATTTTTCTTACCCTTTCACATTCTCTTCTACACATACGGTTGGCCATGGTTATCTACGCAAATACGGTGCCCTTTCTAAATATTTGCCTTAATTACTTTATATAATAACCTTTTTCACTTCTATTTCCTCCACTTCAGCATCTACATTGCATGACAATTAATGATGAATCTAATATATATACATGTATAAATAATAATTACAACAAATTAATCTAAAAAAAGCAAAAAATATAAATAATAATTACAACTATCTATGCATGTATAAAGCTAAATGCACAAATAATAATTACAACCAATTAATCTAACAAAAAAGAAAAAATTATAATAATTACAAACAATTAGTTTTAACAAAAAATAAAATTCGTTGATAACCACCATACCATTATATAGTAGATTATTAAAATATTACTTCCAATATATATGGTAAAGTATATACTAATTAAGAAGTAAAATTTGCTATTTGTGGTTTTATAATACATCTAAAAAAATATAAGAGTATGTGAAATCGAATTTTCAATATATATATATATATATATATAATTATATCTACATGCAGCGATTTAAGACAAAGGATTTAAAATGAAAAATATCGAGTCTGACCAGCAAATCAACATAAAGAAACGTTCCGATCAAGATCCGATCACTCCGTCTACTATTAATACTCTTTCGCCGATTACCAAAACACTCTCTTTACTCATGCCAGATCACTAATTCTACCGCGACTTGTAAGAAATAAACTTAAGAAACACAAATATATTTCACGCAATGGATAAGATTCAATCTCCAAATAATAATAACTTTACATGAAAGAAAATGAACAAAAATATTACCCAATCAGAAATTCAAAATGTTCATATTTTCCCTTTAAAAAACCAACTATAATTGCATAAAATGAATAACATAGAAAAACAATTATGAAAAAATGAGTACATTCTACTAAAACAACACATAGATTATCATAAATTTCGGACACTGCATAGAAAAACCAAAACAACATATGCAAAGAGCCTATGCTCACTTCAGATAATAAACACAATTTAGAACAAATTTTATCACGCAGTTAAAAAAAATTGTTTATCACATCCACGTAGCTTGGATCACACTCTAGTTATCCATAAAAAATTGGTTTAGTGTCATTTTAGGGTACTTCTTACTTCTGAACTAATGTTATAAAACTAGAGGCCAAAAGAGAAAACTAGTGTTAAATAAATATTATTGCACTTATAATTTTCGAGATATCTTACAATGAGATGTATTCTCGTAATTGCTCTGCGGAAGTGAATAATATATATATATATATATATATATATATATATATATATATATATGTGAAAAATAAAACAAATATACAATAGTTCTGTTTCGTGTACATCAAGAACAAATATAGGGTTTTCAAGCCGAAGGCGGAGGCGGCGGAGACTTAGCAGAATTATTGCTATTCTGCTTCACTTGGAGAACGGAAGCAACCGTCCCAATCAAAGTCAACACCAGGATAATGACGGCGCCAACGGTGTGGCAGTACCGGTCCAAAGGTCTTTGAAGTAGACTCGCCGGAGAGTATCGAGGGATCTGTGGATATGGTATTTATAATATCTTATTTTTTTTATATGAGTTATTGTAGTAGTTGATGAGGCTTTCGGCTATATTGTAATAGTTAGAGCCATGATCAGCGATTTCTAGACACATTTTGTTGACCATTTCCGTCACCGAACTTGGACGTCTCGACCAGTTTTTTACAACTCCTTGTGACGTAAAATGTGAAGATTTGTTAGGAATCTCAAAATTGGAAGGAAAAAAAAATATAGGAATGTTCAACCATAACCCAGAAATTCAGTTGAAGTAGACAAAAAATTGTTATGGTTTTATATTTTAAATTCTGACAAAAAATGTGTTTTATATTTTTCATATCAGGACAAATCAAAATCGAATATAAAACTGAAATGTACTTTGCTGAAAGTCTCAATCTATATGTAACCAGAACCAATTTAGGAGACTAGTCAAAATCATATCATGCATTACACCTATTAGAAAACTCGGTGAATGGGTTATTCGAAAGCTACACTCAACTTTGGGAAATTAGTCGGGTGGCAAAAGCCTGAATCATGCATCCAAAAAAAAAAAAAAAACCAACTTGTTTAACTTGTGCTACGTTTTCCAAACTAAAACTTCCAATTTTCAGGGTTGCGCACCTAAAATTCATCATGTCTCATACTCTAATTATTTAGTTTAGAAGTAGATATTTTGTAAAGTGTTTTACCTTTCTTGAAGAGCAAGTCAACGTCTTGCTCTGTGTCGATGAGGAAATCCAAGAAGGTGATGTAGTTACAAACAAAGGCTAAGAAAGGGTAGTGACATTGCTCGAATGCCATTATGTTCCTCATAACTCTCTCCGTGTTGTCTTCCACTACAAAACAAGGCATTTTCAAGATTCCTTCTTCAAAATTAATCACCAACGATAAATTATTTTCTACATCCGCATTTACAAAATCCACTCCTGCACTGGCTAGTTTCTCTGCATTGTGTTTGTGTAGACTCTTTATGCTCCTTGGTTTCTCAGATTTTTCTAGTAATTCTTCAGTCGAACCAAGTGTTTCAACACGGACAAGTCGAAACAACTCTGTAAAATGTCGGAATTTGACTTCTTTTTTTATCTTTCCTTCGAATCCAAAAATTTGAAGGACAATGTCACGGAACGTTTCCTCGGTTTGGAGTTGGAGAAGTTCAAAGAGTTCCTCTAAAAGAACAAAAGGAAGTTGATTCTCGAGCAACACTAGGTCTTCTAAAATAGTGGTTATGAGACAAGGTTCCTTGAAAAGAATATCATCTTTCCTGCTAAATATTTGAGTACCGGTCTGAATGAAGAACCTTAGTATGAATATCGAGTAAAGGAGGATCGTTTCCACGAACTCTCGAGATATGATCCATTCTGTATTTTCGGCGTAACTTTTTCTTATGTATTCTTCATCTCTTTTAATGATTCTCCTGAACTCTTCGATAGTTTGATCCCCATATATAGTTGCAATATCAGTAAGGTATTTCTTCTTGTGATGCTCCCTGTTTTTATAGTCCAAATATCTAGAATAATCCAAATATCTGGAATAGTCCGAATATCTGAAATAATCTAAAACCATTAGTTTGACTATAAATTAAAGAACAAAAAATATGAATGCTTCAAACACGTATAATGCTAGCTAGTGAAGATAAATGAATGTTTATTTATTCTATGAATAAATGAAGCATTAACGGAAGCGGGAAACATAGAATAAATGAATGTTTGTGTAAAAAACTAATATGAGACTTGTTAGAAAACAATGAATGTGTTTTTATTTACATAAACACAATGATTTAAGATGTTAACAAGCGAGAACGCAAACATCAAATAAAACACCAACTAAACAGTTTTTTCCATTTTCATATTACAAAGTTAATTAAAATGATAATTGATACAAGAAAACAGTTTCGATATTTTGACCAAATAATAACATAAATTAACAACTATATAAATTTATGGATATATAAATTAGAAAATATACTAAACTATAACTAATATGTTACTAAAGATGAAATCTCATTGGAGCCCATCTCTTTATTTCTTACATCAATAACTCCTAGGGATGTTATTTTTTTTTTAATTTCATCATCAACAATAAGGATGTTAGCCACAAGTTCTTATAAACTTTAAACTAATGAATAAGTATATTTTCAGGCCTGGTGGTGCTATAGAAAAACAAATGGTTCTCTATTATATTTTAAAAAAAAACTGAAATTTTGGACCTTCTTTTATAAATTTTTTTTTTTAAGAATTAGGGCCCTAAAACATATGAAAAAAAATAGTAAAAATTAGTAGATCATGTGCTTTAGCACCGTGAGAACTACCCAAGAGCCGGATTTGAGATTTTTACATGAATAGTCCGATATACTATTCACAACTATTATATGATTGCTAAAATTATTAATCATAATTTTAAGTTTGTGCAAGTATGTCATTTTTTCACAAGTAGATTTGTTTAAATATAACATCATATCATTTGAAAAAAATAGAAAAATATGGACAAAAAATAATTTATTTATAGAAATGAATTTATGGATTAATTAATATTTCTAGAAATTAATAAAATTTTAAAGCTCCGACATTATGAAATTTATATATAGAGGTATATATTACAGTACCTTAATTCCGTTTTGGAGAGCTCAAGGGCATCAGCTTTCTTAGAATGTTGAAGTGGACCGATTAGAAGCATCTGAGGAGTATATGCATCTGTGTTCACTCTCCGTAACCGGTTCGGTACCCTATAGATGCAACAAAACTCTTTGCTTAAAGTAGAAGACCACAAACCGGGAATCGCAGACTCAGAGGAATCCTTCTGAGCTGTTCCACGATCAACTCTTGTTACTTGATCCCATGGACCACGAAATCCTTCGCTCCATCTACCCATGTTACTAGATCCGGTTTCATTCTCCTTGGTTTGGTCCTCGATCAACTCTTGCTCTTTTGGTTCTTTAGATTTACTTGGCTTTGTAACATGGTTAGGAGGAGCCCATGGACCACGAAAAGCTTCGGCCAAGCTACCCACGTTACCACGATAACCTTTGGTACATCTACCCACGTTACCAACTGCTTCGTATTTTATTTTATTAGTTGGATCTAATCCTTGTTCTAGATCCATCATCATTTGTTTCTCCTATATGTAAGAAGTCAATTTATATATGGTGCATATTCAAACTTCAACTAAACTAGGATTATTGATGAAGCAGACGTGAGCATAACTAAAATTTTAAAGTAGACGACGAGACGAGAAGATATAATCAATATTGAAAACAAAAAAAAACAAACAAACATAAATTTAGTTTTTTCCTCAAACCTTGGCCATATGTATGCTGATAAATGATAAACAAAATTTGATTTACAGGCACTGTTGCTTTCTGTGAATTTATTTAATTGTGCATGGATCAATTACAACACGCGGGGATAAGGATTTATATAAGATTACAAAAGGAGGATATACATATATAAATGACGTGAATGTGAAGCTATTTAATTCAAGCATTTTAAAATTGCTTCTGACTTAAGAAAAATCATCTAACTTTTTATTCTTTATTTATTTCCGTTTTAATTATTCTTGGAGCAAAGAATTATGCTGTCAGGCTTGAAAGAAAGGAAAAACCCTTGCGAAACACATTTAGTCCATTATTTCTCACGCAAGTTTTTTCACGTTATTCAAACGATAACTGGGTGCCATTATTGGCTCATTTAGTAAGTCAAAGTCCTAAAATATTTCATTTAGATCGTGGCTAGAATAGACTACAGTAATTAAATATCAATCACAATTTTTTTTCTTTTTGAAAGAATGGTAATTTTATTCATCCTTTTACAATGAATGATTCTTTTGTTTGGAAGTTTGAGAAGGAAAAACCTTTAAACAACATGTCAGGTCTTTAGAAATCCATCATTGAGGGGCAAAACATCAACGACACACCCTAAATGCGTCCTCATATCCATGAATCCCTAATACGTGAAGAAGGGATAGAGATACGACTGCAGACGGTTCTTGTTAATAAATCAAATAAGTAGCTGAGGTGAATGTTAGAATAAATGTCTCACATCAAAAGTTAAAGAATATTTGTGGACAATATATAAGTAGGTGACAATCCTCTACTTTTGAGTTAAATTTTGGATGTAAGTTAGCCCATTACTAATATGGTATTAAAGCGCAAGATTCTAATTTTTCAATAGTGGATCACATTCGTGGATGTCCAGTCCCACAAGCATTACGGTTTAGATGTCCAATCTTGAGTGTGAGGAGATGTGGTAGATTAAATCTTCCACATCGAGAGTTAAAAATCTTTTTGGACAATATATAAATATGTGGCAATACTTTACTCTTCTTTTTTTTTTTTACAATCATTCCTATTATAAAGCTTGTGGCAAAAGATTATCCTCTAAGGACAGCCAAGATGGGGCCGCGAGGCTAACATGGGCGAATCGAACTCCTCTTGCTCTTGCGGCTTTAGAAAATTTATCAGCACGGACGTTGAATTTGCGAGAGATGTGAAGAAGCTTGAACGATGGAAAACATGATGCTAAGGATTTAAAGTCTACAAGCTCTGCGGCGAAAGTTGGCCATTCTGTTGGGTTAGCCGTCATAGATAAGAGATCGCCACAGTCCGTATAAAAGATTTAACACTTCAGATGAGAAGATAAGATGCATTGCGTTGCCCAAAACAGTGAGTCCAACTCTGCGTGAAGCGGGGATAAACAGCGGTCTGCACCTTTGAGTCCCACTAATGCAGTGTTGTTGCCAGATGTGACGATCCATCCATGACTGCTGAATGCCGCAGTCGCATCCCATGATCCATCCACATAGCAGCTCAAATAATCTTCAGAGATGAGGTTGGTGCTTGTGGGCACAGCTATAGATTCCTGATCTTCCTTTTCATGAGAATTCACTAATCTCCAAGCCTCTTCCTTAGTCTTAGCATGGTCGAGAATGTCTGAGGGTGATTCATCCATATTTTCAAATATTTTTTTGTTCCTGGTTTTCCATAGAAACCGGATGATCCATGGGAAATAACGGAGATGCTCTTTACTTAATCACGATTCACCATCTCTCCAAAACAGGTAATCAAGGTTACCGAATATGGAGCATCGAGGGAAAATACCGGGGGCAGAGGGGATCGTCGAGAGAACCGAGACTTGTCTGGTCGGGGGGCATTCAAAAAGTATATGGTTAATGGTCTCCTCCTCAGCGCCGCATCTCTGGCAGCTTTTGTCTCGGCCGATATACCACGAGTAATACATTGCCACACGAAGTGTTTAATCTTGCGCATAATTTTTAGTCTCCATACTTGCGCCTTGAGTACAGTAGTACTTGGTCCCTGAACAGGGAGGTCGCAGGTAAGACGAGATAAGGTTCTCGCAGCCCAGTATCCTGACTTGATAGTGTAGTTGCCAGATTTAGTGAAACTCCAGCTGTAACCATTCCTTGAGAAAGCGTGGCTCGGACGTATCCCCAAAATAAGGGTAATCTCCTCGGAAGAGAATAGTTCTTGGAGACGGTCTAGTTTCCATTGTTAAGTCTCGAATTCAATAAGGGAGTTAACATATAGCAGAGGATCTCGATAAGTGTTGAAACCTCTAGGAGGTCTAGCCAGAGCATCGGGGATCCAAGGTTTGGACCAAACGCACGTATCAAAGCTGGACCCTATAGTCTTGCGGATACCAGAAGCAAGCAGGGGTCTAGCTGCCAATATACTACACCATCTGTACGAAGGGCGATTTGAAACACTAACTTCAAGAGGGCTGCAATAATTGAAGTATCTGCCTTTTAAGACATGACAGAGGAGAGAATCCAGATAACGCAAAAGCCTCCATAGTTGTTTAGCTAGTAAAGCTAGGTTAAATTCCTCAAGTTTGTGACAAACGACTTCCCATGTCAACCAGTGAATGCCTCTACTATCGCTCTTAGAGCTCCACCAGAAGTTTGCTATCGCGCTTTTAAGCTTAGAGCAGATAACTTTCGGAAGAAGAAAGCACGACATTACATATGTCGGAATTGCTTGTGCTTGGGATTTAATTATGATTTATTTGCCTCATTTGGATAGGAATTTGGAGAACCAAGAGTTAACTTGGTTATGCAGTCTATTGCGAACAAACGCAAACACCTGAGCTTTGGAGCCTTGGATTTTTTCTGGTAAACCCCAGTGGGACCCCATCCCTCCTTCTTGGTGAATGCCGAGGGTATCTTGGATTCCTTGTCGAACAGAGGAAGCCACTTCAGTACCAAACATTATAGATGATTTGGCAAAATTATTCTGCTGTCCCGAGGCCTCACCATACAAGCGGATAATGTCAATAATTTTTTGCTTTGAACAAGATCTGCTTTACAAAAAAACAAGCTATCATCTGCAAAGAAGAGATGAGATATGGGCGTGCTAGCTCTTGCAACACGTATTCCCTGGATCTTGTCATTTACTTCTGCACTGCAGAGTTGGGAGATTAGAGCTTCGGTGCAGAAAATAAAAAGGTACGGGGAAATGAGGTCTCCTTGTCTGATTCCCCGAGAAAGTTTAATGCATCCTCTCGGTTCACCATTGATAAGCACTTTACACTTCACCGAGCTAACACAGTACATGACCCAAGCAATCCAGCGGGGGGCAAAACCCATCTTTTCCATCAAGGCTTTGAGGAAAGACCACTCCACCCTATCATATGCCTTACTCATATCTGTCTTTATTGCCATAAACTTCTTTTGGCAAGCTGAATTAGATCGTAGCGCATGAAAGTTTTCTTGTGCAATAAGAATATTATATGTTATTAATCTTCCAGCCACAAAAGCCGATTGTGTCTCAGAGATTAGTTCTGGAAGAAATCTCTTTAAGCGTAAACTTAAGACTTTAGAGATGATCTTGTAACCTACGTTACATAAGCTTATAGGTCTAAATCCCGTCATCTCTCGAGGCTTATCTCCTTACGGGATGAGGCAGATATTAGTCTCATTGAGCCGATCATCAAATGAACTGGACTGTTCAAACTATCTAATCATTAGGAGGAGATCAGCCTTAATTGTCTCCCAAAACTTCTGGAAAAAGAGGGCGGTAAGACCATCAGGTCCGGGGCCTTTCCAGGGTTTAGGGAGAACAAAGTCCGTCTAACTTCTTCCTCTGAGACCTCCTTAGTTAGGCTTGCATTCATCTCCTCAGTAACTTTTACCGGAATATCTTGGACAACAGGGGTGGGATCAACCACATTAGAAGATGTGAATAGCGACTCAAAATAGTCAACAGCAATGGTTTTGACTCCCTTCTCATTATTCACCTAATCCCCTAATGGGCTAAGGAGGCCCATAATCCTATTACGATCCCTCTTTTCTTTAGTTGTAGCATGAAAAAATTTGGTGTTTTTGTCCCCTTCTTTAAGCCAAGTTGTTCTACTCTTTTGTTGCCAATATCGCTCTTCCTCATGGTAAGCTTCACAAAGAAGGCACTTCAAAGCAAAAAGCTCCTCCATGGAAATTCCTTCATCTTCTACTGCTTTGTCTACCTCATATTGGAGCTGCTTAATGAGCTTCTGCGAGTTTGAGGTGATCCTTTTTTTCCAGACAGAGATAGCTTGTCGACAGCGTCTGATGCGACAAACAAAGTTTCCGTGGGAGCGAAGCAAGGGTCCTCAAGGCTGGGTTTGCCTATCCACCTTTTGTCAAACATAAAACTCTTGTAATGTCGCATGGGGGCATTTCTGATGGATGCTACTATAGACCTATGGTCAGACCCCCACATTTTGAGATACTCCACACAAGTGTGGGAGAAAATATTGTGCCAATCCTCATTACCTAAGGCCCTATCTAGTCGACATTTGATTACTCCATTTCTTCTACGGCCAATCCATGATAGGGGTTGCCTTGGTATGGAATTTCTATCATTATGCAATTTTGGATCATCGTCCTAAACGGAAGAAAAGTTGCCTCAGACCGTTTCTTGCCCCCACACTTTTCATGGTTGCCTGTGATCTTGTTAAGGTCTCCGATAATGAGCCAAGGATCATTACGGGAAATACTGATACAGGTAAATCTTTCCCAAACATACTCACGGTTTTTAACAACAAGATCACCATAAACAAAAGATATGAAAACTCTATTGCCATCGATAATAGTTTCAATGTCAATTAGGCGATCATCCAAATGAAAAACTTTAACCGGAAAGTCCTTAGAATAAAAAAGAGCAAGGCATACACTGTTCCCTATTGGGTCGACAGTGTGAAGGCAATCAAATCCTAGAGAAACTTGCAAATTATGCAGAAACATACGATTGTTTTTGGTCTCAGATAAAAACATAAATCCTGGAGAGTACTTATGATATAACTCTTCCAGTCGGTGAGAAGTTAACTCATCTCCCACCCCTTGACAATTCCACGAAAGAATCTTCATTTGGGTGGCTTGGGAGGAGCATGGTCCTCCAAACCATTGGTCTTCTTGCTGTGCTTCACGATCTTGCCTTTTGGTGGTGCTGTGGGTTCAGCTGCGGGACGAGGGACAGATCTTGGAGCGGTCCTGTGAATTGGATCGGAGCGACCTCCAGGGACAGGGATTGCAGAGTTAGCTGCAGAGCTATGGCGCTTCTTCGGAGAGGTCTTGTTTTGATATGGTTTGAGCTTTTTAGAAGCTGATGTAATCACAATGGGGCTCCGCGGAGTGGTCTTCTTCTTCCGAGCCATAGACTGATCAGGAGACCTCACCGTTTTTGCTAGTAGGGGACTGAGAAGCAGCTGATACCACAACAGAGCTTTTAGAGATCGGGATCGCAACGTCAGAAATCGTACGCTCTAAACTCTCCACTATCTTTTCTGCAGCGAATCTTCACCCAGAAGATCATCCTCCACGCCGTCAGCTTGGTCCTCTCAATCAGTGGGAACTAGTTCAGCTCCGAGAATGCTTCCACCATCATCTGTTTCCGGAAGCGGAGCTAAGGGTGCCTTAAATGGCTTATCTTCATTGGGAATTGCCTCGCCAAATTGCGGAAAGTGCACCACACCAAATCCAGAACCCATCTCGAGAAGCTTAGGGGAAGACTCAAAATCTCCAGCATCACTATTGGCATTATCCTCATCCTCCTTGGTGATCGCTTTTCCTTTGTGTTTGTCATTTGGGTCTGAATTTTGCACCGATGGGGGTGGGGTGGAAGATGGTTCAACAATATGAATGCTCGAGTAGTGACGGGCGGGAGGGCGGGAGGGCGGGGAGGGGAGGGGGATGTAAGAAAGCCGTACAACTAGGGCGAACTTGTTCTGAACATAGTCTGTGGCAATATTCCACTCTTGAGCTAGCTTTTGGGTGTGAGTTAGGTCCATTACTAATAGTAAAGAAATATGATCTTCATGACACATTCTTTCCTTCTATACGCTGTGAAGAGAGGTTTGAAAAGCTTATCTCATATTTTTTCTGATCATATGAAAAAAATTAGTTGTGTCAAAAGATATATAGTTACAATGATAGTTTTTTTTTTTTTTAAGATTTCAAATATCATGAATTAGAAGTCATTTACAGGTTATTGAGATAATTAGTTTGGTGGAACCTTTTGTAGGACACTACAAATCTTGGTCTTATGTGTTTTAGTTTCTTGGTTCCTTGTAATTGTTTCAGCTTTTAAGCTTTTTTAGTCTTAGGTATTGTAGGAATCTCTCGTAGCTGTTGTGCTTAATCGTCGATATCTTAACTATGAAGCGTAAAAGCGTAGCGGTTGATCCACCTTCGTTTACCGGGAGTGGCGCGATTAACCTATTGCTAGTGTAGATCTTGTTTCATCACTGTGGTGAAACATAGTTTAATACTTTAGGGTAGGCTCTTATAAAAATAATAATATGGTGGCTTTCATGGACGTTTACAGGCCCTTTGTAAACCCATTAGATAAAACGACGACGTGACCAGTAAATCTGCATAAAAGTATAAGTCTCAAAAAGCACCGTTTCGTCACGGTCTAATAAGCGACGTTCGACGAGTTTGTTGTGTAACTCGAAAGCTCGGTCTCGGTCTAATAAGCTTGTTTGGTAAAATCCTCTTTTCCCTCCAACTTTTCATTCTAATTTTTTGAATTTCCCTCATTATCTTGTTCCTCTCGTTCTTCTTGACCGATGATTTTTCGTTTTTTTGGGTTGGATTTAGGGTTTCCGTTTTCTGGTAGATTCTCTCTTCTTGTTCCTCCTTTTGTTTGGAGAATTTCAGGTTGTTTTGATTGATTTGAATAAGCCAAGATTGTGAATTTATCTACAAACAATTTGATTTCTTGATGGGTTTCTTCAGATTCCAATTTGTCATATCAATCGATAGGATTCTCTGTACTAACTGAAACATCTGTAATTAACTCTTGCGTGTTTGGTTTTCTTGAGCTCCTTTTGGTAATTGTAAAATCTTTTAGCTTCTTGATATGAATAAGCCAAGATTGTGAATTTGTTTGTAAAACAATTTGATTTCTTGATGGGCTTTTCTTCAGATTCCAATTTTGTCATATGATTCGATAGGATTCTCTGCACGAATCGAAGCATCTGTTATTAACTCATCCGTGTTTGGCTTTTTTAGCTCCGTTTGGTGATTGTAAGAGTTTTAAGCCTTTTGGTTTGTGCAGGAGCCTGTTTGTGTATTAAGACAATGAAGCGTAAAAGAGGACACAAGAAAGGCAAGAAGTCTAAAAAGCCCAAGCCTTTCACTGAGTCAACAGAGAACCAAACCTCCGAGAATAGTGAACATGAGTCCAAAATGGAGGTTGATGCACCTTCTTCTACCGGGAGCGGCGATTCACCTGTTGCTAGTGTAGATCCCGTTGCATCAGACACGGCGGCTAAGTCGGTGGGACGTGTTAAGGTCAAACTAAAGGCCTCGAAAGCACCGGAACCAGATGTTTCACCGCGTACTACTGATATCGATAAGAGCAGTCCTCAAGCTGAGCCAGAGAAACCCGTCGTGGCTGTGGAGAAGAAAGAGGACCCGGTTCCTCGTTTGCCTGACAGAAAACCGGTGTTTTTGAATGTTTACAGGAAAACAAAAGGTATAAAGATTAAGCCTTCGAAGGTGGTTGATGGGTCTAGTTCAGTTACTGAGAAGAGTGCTGATACCGTCAAGGCCCAGGACGCAAATATAGTTCAACAAAAGGATGCAGATGTACTTCCAAAGGATACACAAATGCCTGATGAGAGCTCTGAAATCAAGAAGGTAGAACCAGAAATTGCGGCAGTTTCTTCTCAGAACGAGGAGAAGAAGACCGATCAAGTATCACGATACAATAAGCAAGAACTGGAAGATTCTCTTACAGTATGCTCAGATTATTATCTCACCTTCATTGTTGCTCTCTTTTGATTGTATATACAGTTGATCTTGAATATTACACCTAATGCACCTTCTTTGTCTTGGTGTCATATTTGCTCTAGGTGATCAAGAAGATTATGAAGATGGAAGCTGCTGATCCGTTTAATGTTCCCGTTAACCCAGAAGCTCTTGGAATTCCTGTAAGTGTGGATATTTAGCTTCGTGTTCATTGGTATAAAGGCACCATTTTGGGAGGTGTTGCTAAATTTTAACCTTGGCTTGTGAACTTGTGAAAGCTCAACTACTTATAGGTACATGTGTTACGTTTGGCATATCTCCAGTTACATGGTTATGTTAATCGTCCTAGGCTCAAAGCTCCTTATGGTTTTGCAGCCTAAATACTTTTCTCGTGAAAATCATTTTTGATCTCAGTTGACAGGAACTAGAAATGCTCTAGTAGATTCAGTAGTCCTACTATTTAGCTCAATGCAGGGGTCCAGTCTTTCTCTTTCGATATGTGAACAAGGGAAGGAACTTCTTTATTTGCGTTAGCTGAACCAGATTGGCTGTATCTATTCGGCTTAATAGTTAATATACAGAGATTATTCTCTGTCCTTGAGGAATAACCTTGGCTTATGGTTATTACAAAATTTATTTATCAGCTCTTATAGAATTGCATTTGTTTCCAAATATAAAAGTAGACGCCTACGTCGTCTCATGAACTAACTATGAATTCCTTGACTTGTCATCGTGGTACTCAGACTCTTAACAAAGATGGCTAATGAATAGTAGTGTGCCTTCGCTTTCACTGGATAGTGAAATTGCTTCTATACGTATCCCATCTCGAGCATCTTTGCGTCTCGTCTTTGCTTCTTGTTTCAGCATTGATGTCTGACACGTGTAAATGTTTTCTGTTTATGTAATTAGGACTATTTCGATATCATCAAGACACCTATGGATTTTGGAACAATATGCAGTAATTTCGAAAAAGGCAACATATATATGAATTCTGAGGATGTTTACAAGGATGTCCAATACATTTGGAATAACTGTTCCAAGTACAATAAGAAAGGTGATTATATCGTGGACCTTATGAAGCGAGTGAAGAAAAATTTCATGAAGTACTGGACTGCTGCGGGATTGTATACTGAGCAATCTGCTGGTATTGTTAACATTTTCTTCTCCAGCATTGTTAAATTGTTAGCTACAGTTCTCTCTATACATAGTTACGTTTCTGGTTCCCTTTATGCTTATTATGTGGACATTGTGAACATATTTTGAAGCGTCTGCTTCTGACAAGGGTCATTGCTTATTCTAGCTAATGAAATTTCATTGTTGAAATGCATGTAACCCATTTTAGTAATAAATGGAGAAGCAGAGCTGTTATTAGATTGATGAGTTAATCCTGAATGCAGTTGCATATAAGCATTTGGTTACTGCCTTACATCTAGTTTGCATTGCTTTAGTTCAAATTCTCTTATGAAAGTAAAAACGAAGAGATGCATAAAGCAATATGTAGGAAGGTGCATGCGAAAGGAAGTTATAAGGAGAAATGTCAACTGCGGATAGTGTTAACAATACACGACTTGCATTGTATCAACTAGCTATGCATTTTGGCCAAAGTGATTGTGCCTAGAATTTAACTTATTTGGTTTCTTCGGTTTATAGCAGAGAATGCTCAACCAGAGGATGGTGGGAAGGCTTCCACCAAAGGTAGTCAAACAAAACAGAAGAGCCACAAACGTCATGGGTATGCCGTTGAAACTTTTTGTTCTCTATGATACATGGGAACTCATATTCTAATATGTTCTACTTTGTGTCCAATTTTATCCTGAGTTTGATTTCAACGTTTCATAAAGCTTCTAGATTTTATAGGGAAGAGGTTATCTTTTACAAGGTCTTTTAAACCATTGCCAATCTTAGTCAACATTGTAGCTAAATTTGGTTTTCTCTTTGCCAAATTGTATTCTGTAGCCCAGTTCATACATCTTGCATTTCTTTTTAAATTGATAGTTACTACGGAGCTTGTGCCCCTTAAAATTGGGACTGGGATCAGTTTTCATTTGATAGTCATCATTTCGTTTGCAGAAGGCACCATAAGAGTGATTGTATGTGCGCGATATGTATCTTGAAGCGACGTAAAAGAGAACGTCAAGGTTCTCAAGGACATTCTGAAGCACAAGAGGTTAGTAATGTGTTTTGTTTACATGACGTCTAGGGTTTAGTCATCATGTGTTTATGCAAACAAGATAACCCACAAACAACCCAAGTTTTGGCCTCAGTTGGCTGCAGTGTAAAGCGAGTCAGTAAACTTTGTAATAAGTATTAATCTTAATATATTTCTCTCTTTTAAGGAGTCTTCACCTGTGGGAAGTCCATCTGTGGATAATTCGTCAATAAACATGGGTGAGGAGCAGGACATTGATGTTGATGTTGAAAACAAAACTGGACAAGGAAAATCAGAAATTGTGGAACTAGACAGTCCGGTGGCAAAAAGACAAAGAGTTAGTGAAAATAAACAAGAGGTGGAGGAAGAAGAAGAAGGTAAAGAGGAAGAGGAAAACCTTGAAGTGGAGAGTGAAAATAAAACCGAAGTTAATGTCGAGGGCAAGGCCCAATCGGTTGATAGATCAATGGAAGAGACTGGCGATGAGCCTGTGACTAGTGCTGCAGAGAAATTGGTTGTTTTAGCTGCTTCCGTTGAAGGTCCAGAATCGGCTCAGAATGAGGAGGAAGAGAAGGAAAAACGACTCCGAGAGCAAAAGGTATTTTTCTTTGCTTTGTGATGTTTTGATTAAGCAGCAATCAGTATTGAGTTTAGTTGTGTTATTCCGTTATTTCAGGAGCTGCAGGAGTTGGAGCGTCAACAATGGAGAGCTAAGATGCATGAGAAGTTCCAAGTCAGAAATCCGAAGCTTCTAAGTTTCTGTGAAACTATCTTTCCTAACAACAACCAGAGTTCTGTCTGGAACGGACCTCACTCGCTTTTTAAACGTGGAGGAGGTTCAAGTCGTAGTAGTTCCTTACACAAAGCAGTTGAGGCATTGATGTAGTAAGGACTCAAAATGTAACATAAGTACTTAGCCAATCATCATATGATTGTTGTCACTGAAAGCATAAAATCAACTTGTTCATGATTTTTTAAGACAATTGAATTCTTTAATCACATAATGACTACCGTGAAATGATCAGACAACAAGAATAAGGGGATAAAGATTCCGTTTTTTCAAAAACTTTAGTTTAATAACACTGAAAAGTTTACTTATTTATTTCATCCAAGGCTAAAATCTTTTATTTTAGGTGATGATTTGATTGGTAGTTTATTACCGTAGTGGTCCTCCACTTGGCATCCAAAAATGGCTGCTTCTATAATGGTTTGGAGCTACAAATCGACCAAAAGTAGCTCAAATTTTATTTACTTATCACACCATTTCATAAGCAAACATTCTCTACACAAATTTTTGCAGTAAACCGTGATCCCAATCATTTATTACAGTTAACCAAGTAGGCTAGTAAGAGGCAAAGAAGGTTTGGTGCATAGCCTGTGCTTCACATTTTGCTCATATTTGTATTTTTTATTGCTTGTGCTGTACATTCTTTTAGTTTGACTTGAAATTAGAAATCCTATCTTCTTTCAACATCATGTTTCATACATACATCGATCCATCTTGATCTTATTTGTCATGTCAGTATCACCAAGAAGATATGATATTATTTCACTATATATATATATAATGCATATATATGAGTTTCAAAAAAAATATTATACCATCTTAGCCTCAAATTCATAAAATATAATAGGTAAATTTATGAGAAATTCTACGTATGTGTGATTGTTAAACATGTTTTGAATATGTATGTTCTTTCATGCATTAATTGCATTTTTGATGAGTAAATTGACTTAAGACCACAAACTCAAGTTGAAACATATAATGGCCAGCTATGATATAAATTAGGTTTTGAGTGGATGTATATCTTTATATGTTTGCACCATCGGCTAGGATTAAGTTTTGAGTGGATGTATGTTTTCTTTTCCAACCAAAGCAAAAAGAGAATTTTGAGCCAATTTCTCTAAGAGGGAGTAGTTTCCAAACTCCTGAGGCATAATATGTCTGTTCCTATACAGGCTCCCCATGCCTTCGTTACACCCAAAATACACATTTGTATCACTTCAAACCCACCATCATCTAATACTTTTGGAAATGTGTTTTGAATTAAAACTTTATATGTATATGCATATTCCAGTTGTATAAGAATAAGTAAATCTTGGATTCCATTCCATTGGTTCACACTCAGGATAAGTTATCAAATATTCCAACCATTATTTTGGATGTATGTGGTAAAAAGAAAAATATGGGAACAAGGAACTATTGGGTCGATGTTAAGGTAAGTGGTGAGAGGCAAAGGTTTTGTTATCAAAACAATTTGTACTATACATGTACAACAAGAAAACAAACGGTTTATTTTTTTTTTTCAAACAGTTTATTTTTGCCTTTGTCAGAGGGGAGGAATTGGAGAACAAAATAAACTGAATGCAACTCGTTGATCACGGTCTTGTGAGTCAATAGCCCTTACTGATAAATACATTTTTAATCATATTATTAAAGGAAAATAAAAATAACTGTGTTTTATTGTTAGCTATGTGTTTTAGTCCGGGGCAAAGCCAGAGTTTATTTTGAGTGGATGCAAAATATAAAATATTATTGAAGCGGGAAAAGAACTGAACCATGGTCCATAAGTAATAGTGGGTGCAACATAACAAAATAATCATACCAAACAAAAAAACATAGCCGAATAAGCCGTTTCATCCTAATAAATCAATGTAAAACCTTTAAATTTTAATGCAACCCACTCCTTTATAGCTAGATTCGCCTCTGGTTTTAGTCACACTATATATATAGTGTGACGTTGTAGCAAAATGGAAAAAATAAATGGATGTTGTTAACCAAGACGGCTAACGTCTGCCTAACGAAGTAACGATATTTATAATAATGTCAATATAGCCATATTCATATTTACCACAGGTAATAAGGTGATGATAGCATGCACGATATTATGTCAAAATTTCAAATCTGAAAACTATTCAGATACATATTTAATAGCAACAATTATTCTCTTTTTTTATCCCTGAATTTTCCTTGCTTTATTCCATCTTCCCCAATGGGGCATCGTTTATAACATACAATTTGCTGAACTGAAGAACAACAATTATTCATTATTCTTAACTTACGTAAGTAATCTAAAAATGTTATTATAGTAGTTGAATGACCAAACTAAAGGTGGTGTTTTAGACCTTAAAAGAATGAATGGTTCTCTTTGTTGTTTCTTTCTCATAACACGAAGGACCCATCTTCAATAATTATGATTCTTAATATATAGTATTATTTCATTTTAGGGGTTTTTGTTAAAAATAACCTAAAACTTGATTTTGAATATAAAAGTAGACTCCTGAAAAAATATTTGGCAGAAATAACTTAAAGAGGTAGTGAAAAGACCATTTAATCATGTATGACTAAACAAAAAACGGACATCCTAATTACCGTTTACACCCTAACGAAATCTACTAAAAAAAGAAAGAAATCTAATAGTAGACTTCGTTTATCGAAATGAAGTCTACTAAGTAATTAAATCAGGAAATTTAATTTTAAAATTTAGAAAAAATTATTTTGATATCAAAATTACATTCATAAATTCTGTAATTGTAATCCAAATGTACATAAATTATTTTTTCATATTGATAAATGGAAATTTATGTTTTTATATTAAGAAGAAGAAAATCTATTATTTAAGTTTTAAAATTTGTAGACTTCTATATTGAAGTCTGCTAAACCGAATAAATTAACTTAACCAAAATTTAAATCGAAATTAAACCAAAATTGAACCAAAAATAGCTATTTTAACCAAAAATTTTATCATACTATATAAACCAACGAATTCTAATAAAACCCTAATTTTATCCAAAAAAAACTCTCTAACACGGCGCTTTCCTCTGGCCTCCATCCCCTTTCTCACCATTGTTTTCAAAGCTCAGAGATCTGGTGTCTGGTGACTCCAGCAAGACCACCACCGCTGTTTTCGCCGCTCAGGTAATATAAAAAATCATTCTTTGAATCTCTTTTTCTTTGCATTTATAAAACTTTACTCTAATAGTATAAAATGATTCAAAAAAAACATCTATCTGTTTGTTTGGCGATGTATTAAAAATCAAATTGAAATTAAGATTCTCTGAAATTGGGTTTGTAGTTGATTTGAGCTGATACATGAGGTTACCAATTTTAAATGATTGTCAGCGACTTGGAAGAACGGCAGCTCAAACCGGTGCACTTCTGGCAGATGATTACGTCCGACCAAAACCTCGTCAAGCCTTGCAGTTTCCATGGAAACAAAAGTCCCTTTCTCAACCCGAACAGGTAACACTAGGCTCCGTATGGTTCCTCTGTTTTCTTATCTTCTTCTGTGTCTCGGGTTCTTCTGATTTGATCCATTTCCGTAAAACCCATGCTTATTTTGTTCTGATCTTCGTCTATTCTCTTTACTGCATGTGGGTCTCAGTTTGTTTTCTCCGCAAAATCCGATTTTGGGTTAATACTTACTCCAGAGATAATCCCATTTGCTTGTGTCCTGCTTATTCATGAAATCCTTTTTTAATCTTTACTACTCTGTGACTTATACTTCGACGAAAATGCCTTTTCCTAATGGATTTCTTACTACACTTGAGAGGGATTTTTATATCGGCTGTTTCAATCTGAAGAAAAAAAATTTGATGTTTGAGAGAAAATTACAGATATGTAGCGCATGATACAATTGATGTTGAACATCATTAGCTCTGTTTTCAAATCAGTTTTGGTCATAATTCTTACACTGAGAAAGATTCATACTTGCAGGTTCATATCTCATTGGGTGGAGATAAACACATGCGAGTGAGTTGGGTTACTAGCGACAAATCGTCTCCTTCCATTGCGTTTTTCTGAATCAACACCAAATTGATCAAACCCTTCGTCAAAATCAAAACTTGGGTTCTGGGTTTTTGCTTTTTCCCTGACTTTGTACTTCCCCGAGAAGATGGTTCAGTATCAGAGATTAATCATCCACCATGGAAGAAAAGAAGAGAGGTTTAGAGGTATGATTATCATCTCTCTCTCTCTCTCACACAACTATCTTCGTCTTTTTTTTGCTTTTTTGAGTTTGTATTTCTATTTTATCAATCATCCTTCTCTTTTTCCTCTTCCGCAGATTCGTTTAGCAGAGAAAGCGAAGCTCTTAGTCCTTACGAGCCATCCACTGCACCTCTCTGCTCAGATAACTCCACTGGTTAGTATTTTAGGTTCTTTTCCAAATTCAATCCGAAATTGTTTGTTTACGAATAGCCAGAAACAGTTTCTCCTTTTCTTTTGTTAAAAGAATCAAGAAACAGAACAGCTCTTTTTCTGTTGTCTTAATTTAGAAACTAGAAACTAAAACTTTGTGTAATCTATGAAAAACTTCCACAAACTTACGGTTACCGATTTTTCAAATCTGTGTGTAGGAACCATTTGCTGTGACAGAACCGGATTGAGATTCGACATCTGTGTAATGAAAGGCGATGTTCGAACAAACTCTGCTTATTCGTCAGTATTCCTCTTCACATCCACCAAGAACAACACCAGAAAATGGGAGACTAGTGTGATTGTTTTTCATTCTAATTGATGTTTTTGGTTTGGAAAATTTTGGGAGGCTTATGTAATGTGAATTTGAGATCTATTTTGTAATCTACTCATTTTTTTTTTCATTTTGTAATTATAGAAAAGGAGAAGTTGTGTCTCATTTTTTTTTTATTTTGTGAGGTTTATATCATCTTAATTTTGTGGTCATCAATTATAATGATCATGAACTCGATTTGTATATATGGTGATATACTATTTTATACAGATGTCTTGTTTTTCTTGTTATTGTCATTAAGCAGAAGATAACAATGTACCAGAGATTCCAAAAGAACCTTTGAATCAAAACAATATTAAAAAATTCTGGGTTTAGGACCTCGTGTTTTTTTTTGGGATAATGATCATCAAGTGTAATGGTATCTATTGGTCATCATTTGTAATGAGCATAAATGTATTGGTCATGTTATGTATTTTTATCACCTAAGACAACACATTATATCTAAAGCCACAAAAAGAACATTAGTAGACTATACGACGAAGTCTATTTTGATAAACTAAGTACG